GAGCGGGCCCAGGCTGTCCCATTGAGCAGGAGCCCAGAAGGTCGCCGTGCTGCGAGTCCTGATCCCCCTGCCATCTGTTAGGGTGCGGAGGTCACCCAGGCGTCTGAGGGTGGGACAGTGCCACTTCCGAAGGAGCCAGGGCAGCAAACCCAAAATCCCTGCGTGCCTGGGCAGGTTAGGAGATTCCTTCTGCCTGCGAAGTCTGGCTGGGCTGCAGCAGAGGAGCGACCCTTGCTGCCTGGCTCACGAAAGCCCCCTGTTCCCCCTGTCCTTGTGTGAGTGAAGGTGACCAAGGAGGGAGGAGGGTAACACCCGCCGGGGCCGCGTTGCACAGGCCGCCTGCGTGCGCGGGTTCCCTGCCACCCTGGCCTGGATGCCTGGACCTTCGATTCTGACACGAAATCTGAATCCTGGACTCCAAAAGGCACGTCTCTTGGGCCAGTTAGGGTAGGAGTTCCGCTCAAAGCCCTGCCCCCACCCCGTCCCAACCCTGCGTCCTAAATCTCCTGCAGCAGAGCCGGGTGATCCTCCTGGCTGAGGAGTAGTTCCAGCGGAGCCGGCTGTTCCACGTCCTTCAGCTCCCCCAGTGGCGCCGGATCTAGCAAAGGTTGTGCCTTTTGCTGAAATTCTAGGGTCGACAGGAGCTCATCTACCAGGCTGGAGGGGAGTGCAGACGAGCGCTGAGTCTCCTGGAGCGGTTGGGAGGGCGCCTCGATGGCTTGCATGTGTGCTTGACGCTCGCAGGCCTCCGGGGTCGCGGGCTCCGGACTTGGAGGTGCCCCGTCTTCGGGTTCCCACGCCGCCTTGGAGACCTGGGGCTCCAGCCCCACCAGCGACTCCGCTGGGACGTGGGTGGTCCAGCACACCTTGGCCCTGTGACTCAGCTTGAGCGGGCCCAGGCTGTCCCACTAAGCACGCGCCCAGCAGGCTGCTGTGTTGCGGGTCCTGGTCTTCCTGTCATTTGTTGGGGGTGCGGGGCCACCGAGGAGTCTGAGGGTGGGACAGCCCCACTTCCGGAGGAGCCAGGGCACCGAACACAAAGCCCCGAGTGCAGGGGCAGGTTGGGAGATTCCTTCTGCCTGCGCAGCCTGGCTGGGCTGGAGCAGGGGGACTGCCCTTGCTCTCTGGCTCACGAAATCCCCCTGTGGGAGAGCCCCAGGAGCGCAGGGTATGTGGGGTGCGGGAAGCCCCGTTTCCCATGCCCGGGTGTGGGTGAACTCGATAGAGGAGGGAGGAGGGCAACACCTGCTGGGGTGTCAATAACCACAGTGGCCTCAAAGAGCTCAAATGAAAGGAAGAATTGCACGTCTCTCACTTTAAGTCCAGAGCTAGAAATGATTAAGCTTAGTGAAGATGTAGAATTTTCACCGCTAGAGAGAAGTCAACACTTGGCTTCAAAACTTCAAAGGATGGGCCGGGCGCGATGACTCACGCCAGCACTTTGGGAGGCCGAGGCGGGTGGATCACAAGGTCAGGAGATCGAGACCATCCTGGCTAACACGGTGAAACCCCGTCTCTACTAAAAATCCAAAAAAATTAGCCGGGCGTGGTGGCGGCGCCTGTAGTTCCAGCTACTCGGGAGGCTGAGGCAGGAGAATGGCGGGAACCCAGGAGGTGGAGCTTGCAGTGAGCCGAGATCGCACCACTGCACTACAGCCTGGGCGACAGAGCGAGACTAAAAAAAAAAGAAGGAAAGAAAAGAAAGAAAAAAAAGATTGCTGCTTACTGACAATTCACCTAGCTACCCAGAAGCTTAGATGGAGATGTACTTGGAAATTAATGCTATTTTCATGGCTGCTAATACAATATCTACCCTTCAGCCTGTGGATCGAGGAGTGATTTTGACTTTCAGGTCTTATTATTAAATAATAAATGCATTTTGTAAAGGTATAGCTGTCATAGACAGTGATTTCTTTGTTGAATCTGGATAAACTGAATTGAAAACCTTTTGGAAAGTATTCACCATTAATCCTTTCATGATATTTCAACCTCCTCCCGTGAATCACAAATGTCCTTAAAAGCAATCCTTAAATGCCGTTAAGGACATTTGTGATTGATGGGAGGAGGCTGAAATATCAACATTAACAGGAGTTTGGAAGAAGTTGATTCCAGCCCTCATGGATGACTTTGAGGGCTCAGGATGTCAGAGGAAGTCCCTGCAGATGCGGTAGAAATCGCAAGACAACTAGAATTAGAATTAGAGCCTTAAGATGAGATGAAATTGCTGTAAACTCATGATAAAACTTGAACAAATGGGGAGTTGCTTCTTATGGATGAGGAAAGAAAATATTTTCTTGAGATGGAACCTGCTCCAGGTGGAGATGCTATGAACATTGCTGAAACGACAGCAAAGGATTTAGGATATTCCATAAACCTGGTCGAGAAAGCAGCTGCAGGGTTTGACAGGGTTGATTCCAGTTTTGAAGGAAGTTCTACTGTGGATGAAACGCGATCAAACAGCATCACATGCTACAGGGAAATCTTTTGTGAACGGAACAAACTTCATTGTTTTATTTTAAGAAACTGACATGGGCACCCAACCTTCAGCAACCCCCAGGCTGATCAGTCAGCAGCCGTCAATACAGAGGCAAGATTTCCACCAGCAAAAACATTATGACTTGGTAAGGCTCAGATATTCATTAGTAATTTTTAGCAATTAGGTATTTTAAGTTATGTGCATACTTTTTAGACATAATGCTATTAATTACTAATTAATTATTAAACAACCATTAGACGACAATATAGTTTAAGCATAACTTTTATAAGCACTGGGAAACAAAATGTTTGTGCGACTAACTTGACTGTAACATTTGCCTTATTGCAGTGGTCTGGAACCAAACCCACACTCTCTCTGACGGGTGCTTGTAGGTTTTTTGTTGTTCTTTGTTTTGGGATGGGGTTTCACTCTGTCGCCCAGGCCAGAGTGCAGTGGCATGATCATAGCTCACTGCAGCCTCAAACTGCTGGGTCAAGTGATTTTTTTCTACCACAGCCTCTGGAGTAGCTGGGACTACAGGCATGCAGCACTATGCCTGGATATTTTTTTTAATAATTTTTTTTTTTCTGTAGAGACGGGGTCTCACTATGTTGCCCAGCTGGTCTTGAACTCCTGGGCTCAAGCAATCCAGCCACTTCAGTGTCCCAAAGTGCAGCCATTACAGGCTTGAGCCACTGCACCCAGCTTGTCTGCAGTTTTTAAAACAAAAACGGCTGGGCGCGGTGGCTCACGCCTGTAATCCCAGCACCTTGGGAGGCTGAGGCAGGTGGATCACGAGGTCAGGAGTTCGAGACCAGCCTGGCCAAGATGGTGAACCCAGTCTCTACTAAAAATACAAAAATTAGCCAGGTGCAGTGGTGGGCACCTGTAGTCCCAGCTACTTGGGAGGCTGAGGCAGGAGAATCTCTTGAACCCAGGAGGCAGAGGTTGCAGTGAGCCAAGATCGTGCCACTGCACTCCAGCCTGGCAACAGAGCGAGACTCCATCAGAAAACAACAACAACAACAAACAGCATAATTTAAAAGATTAAAAGTTAAGGTAGATTTTTACAAATGTATATATCTACCATTACAGTATCATACAGAATGGTTTTACTGCTGTAAAGATTCTCTGTGCTCTGTGTATCCGCCTCTTCCTTCCCCTCGGTCCATGGCAACCACTGATGTTTCTACTGTTCCCACAGTTTCACCGTCTCCGGAACGTCCTATACTTGGAATAGAATAGTATGTAGACTTTTCGGATTGGCTTCTTCTCTTAGCAACATGCATTTAAGTTTCCTCCTTGTATTTTTCTGTGGCTTGATAGATCATCTCCTGTTAGCAGTGAGTAATATCCCGTTGCCGTTATACTTTTGTCAAGACTCAGAACGTACAACGCGAAGAGTAAACGTGAATGTGCTCTGTAAGCTTTGAGCCATAATGAAGGGTCAAGGTAGGTCCTGGTTGTCACAGGTGCGCTGTGTGAGGCAGGAAGCTGTGGTGGGGAGGCTGTGTGTGGGGAAAGGAACATGTGGGAAGCCTGTACTCTCTCCTCCGTTTAGCTGTGAACCTGCACTTCTCTAAAAAATAAAATTACTTAAAATTAAAAGCAAACAATTAGAAAAATGAAAACATTACAACGTGTCATACAGTTTTCAAATCGCAAGACAGAAAAAGACGTAATAAAATAAAGTATAGAAAACAACAATGATAGGAATAAAACATCAGCGACAGAAGGCAGAAGACAGAAATGTGGAGCCAAACACGTTAATTTATTTTAATCACTAGTTATATTCGTTTATACCAATTTATATTGATTTAACGTATTAATTTTGACTAAATGGCATTAAAGAAGGTTTGAGGAGTTTGCGTGTCACATTCTGGATGAGAGGGTTCAATAATATTAACTCTTTAGTTTGCTGTAAATCATTTAAAAATATGCTCAAATTCCAATAAAAATTCCAAGAAAAATATTTTTGAACAAGAAAATGTGATTTTAAATTGGTCTATTGAACACACACATGGCAGCCAATATTATAAAATGTACTATAAGATATTGAAGATTATTATTACCATTCAAAATTAAACAAATTTGAAATGGCACAAAAATAAACACATTAATGAAAGAATTAAAAACAGAAATGGAGCACAATTTTATCTCATAACAGGGTAGCATTCGAAATCCACAAAACAAGAGCTATTGTTCCATTTATGGTATTAAAATATTGGGTGATGATTTGAGAATATAAAATGATAGAATTGAATCGTGGTCCCGTGCCTTGCATGAAAGTTAATTCCAGCATTAAACATAAAAAAAAAAAGAGAGAGAGAGAAAAGAAAAGAAAATTAGCAGTGTGTATGTGTTTTATGACTTTGAGAATGAATGTCTTCTAAAATCAAAATTTCAAACAGAAAACATATAAAAAGGAATAATAAACCTAACGTACCTAAAATGTAAATTCTTACACATTTCAACACCAGGCAAATAGCACAAAACAAACTGGGGAAATTTTTACAACAATTATGTTACATAAAAGTTAAAATCCTTACAACATATACAATGTATAAAACAGTATGATTACTGCTTATTAATACCATTATGATTACCTGGTCTTCCCGCATACCAGTCCTCTTCCAGTGCCCGGTGGTGAAACGGAGCCCTCCCTCTCTGGTCACAGTGGAGGATCCAGCAGGAACCTGAGCCCAGACAGGCTCCAAACCCTGAACCCTGCCTAGACTTATGAAGGGTGTGAGCCAAGCCGGGACCTCACACTCCCTCCTGCAATGACGCAGATACCCACTCACGGCAGAGATTCGGTCCCTCTCTGGAAAAGCCGTGTGACAATTATTGCAGAAACTTGTTTCCTATGTTCCCAGGCACATGGAGAAAGCTGGTCTGGAAGACTGATGTCCACATGCCAAGAGAAGCACTCATGAAACACACGCTGCATGCACCACACCATGTGCACACGCACACACCCCAGACACCACACACACTGCAACACACCATGTGCACATGCACACACCACACACACACCACACCCACTGCACACACCACACCATGTGCACACCTTACACATACCACACACTGCACACACGCCACACACATGAACCTACTACACACACACCACACCCAGTGCACACGCCACACCATGTGCACATGCATACACACACCACACACACGAACCTACTACACACACACCATGCACATACAGCACCACACACATACCACACCCACTACACACACACACTGCACACACCACACCACACACACGAACCTACTACACACACACCACGCACATACAGCACCACACACACACCACACACACATCAAACACACACCCCACACATACTCCCCACATACTGCACACGTACATATAGCACTACACACACAGAGCAAACACACACATCACATACACACACCACATGCATTCAACACACACATCAAACACTACACACACTGCACACACACAGCACCATGCACACACAAAACAAACACACACATCACATACACCACACACACATCACACGCACACCACACCACACATAGTACACATACACATCACACACACATACACCACAAACACAGCACATACACACACCATGCACCACCCACAGTATTCACACATGACACCCACAATACACACCACACACACATATACATACTCCATGCACTTACTACACACGCAGACCACACACACACCATACATACACATCACATGCATACATCTGCGCACACCTCACAACACAGAAAACACCACTCTCCTTTTGGTTTCCTTAAATAGACGGTGATCTGTTTTGCTCCGGGAGAAACTAGTGTCCTGTAGTATGATAAGCAATGAGATATTGGGGGATAAAAAAAATCAGAACCCCTCAAACCCCTCAGAGAAAGAGGTAGGATAAAAATGCACCCTTTATGCTTGATGTCATTATTGCTGTTACTAGTATTCTAGATTACTCAGTACATCCACAGGGTTTAATCTTTAGAAAAACTGACTCCCTTCACTTCCGTCTTCTGAAGTCATAAATCGCAATTTGTTTCCTAGAGCTCCTGCCATTTGCAGCGAGCTCACAGCATTACACAGTCAGCACACAGAGCCTGGGGCTGCTATCCAACCGCCAAGACAACCGTGAGTCCACAGAAGAGAATGTTCCTCCAAGGTAGACACCTGGCTTCACAGCGGCAGAGCAGGAAGACGTAGCTTCGGGAACCAGGCCGCACCGGTTCAAACCCCAGCTCCTCTGTGACCTTGGGCGAGTTACTTAACCTACGTGCTCCCGTTTCCTTGGGTGCAAATTAGGAACAGTGAGTCCCTGCCTGAGGGGTGTCTCATATGCATCTGTCTGCATATCTGTGTATTCGTTATTTATCTACCTGTCAATCATCCATTAACAAGGAGGAACATGAGAGGAAATCAGGGTGACCTTGACATCCTAGTTGTGCACCTGCACAGAGGATGGTCTCCAATTCCACAGCTACTTCTCTTTAGGGAATCAAGCTTACTGTGTGTAGGTTACAGGTGGTAGAATTTGCCTTAGCTATTCACTTACTGTGTAGAGGAGACTATGAACAGTTGGGTAGACAGTCCTTGAAGTGTCATTTATGTCATTTATGTGAGATATAATGGAAAACACTATTATTCCATGTATACTGTTGTAGTTTTTAAAAGTTGGGTACACGTTTTTGAGATGGAGTTTTGTTTCTTGTTGCCCAGGCTGGAGTGCGATGGTGCGATCTCAGCTCACCACAACCTCCGCCTCGTGGGTTCAAGCGATTCTCCTGCCTCAGTCTCCCGAGTAGCTGGGATTACAGGCATGCGCCACCATGCCTGGCTAATTTTGTATTGTTAGTATAGACGGAATTTCTCCATGTTGGTCAGGCTGGTCTCAAACACAGGTGATCCGCCCGCCTTGGCCTCCCAACATGCTGGGATTACAGGCGTGAGCCATCGCGCCTGGCCTCATCTTTGTTTTTAATCGATGACTGATTGGCATATGGAGCACACCCCATGGCCTTTGCATTGCCTGTGAAGTCTCAGGTGGTTCTTACTTTCTATAGAGCCAACACAGAGCACTAACCTTTATATGTCATGGAAGCCACCCTTCAGGAAAGCAGGAGGAGTATAGGGGTCATTACAGGGGTTCCTTATTCTCTATTTCCTGCTGTTACAGGAATCTAGTTGTGAGTTCTCTAAATTTAGATATAATTTACTTTCTCTTATAGCATATGCTCACGTGATTTTAACAATAAGATGTGAGATAAGAGGAGCTTATGTTAGTCCATTACTAACAGACACATTTCAGAATTTTGTCTGCTTTTCTTTCTCCTGAGCTGACCAGGAACACTGGTCCTTCACGAGGAAAGGGCTATGGCTCCTGGGGAGACTTGGCAGCTCGAGCTCTGTGACTACTCATCTTGCAGTAGAGCTACTGCGGTTGCTTCAGTGACTGAAATTATTTTTATATATTTTATTATACTTTAAGTTCTGGGGTACATGTGCAGAATGTGCAGGTTACATAAGTATACATGTGCCATGGTGGTTTGTTGCACTCATCAACCTGTCATCTACATTAGGCATTTCTCCTAATGCTATCCCTCCTCTAGTCCCCCAGCCCCCAACAGGCTCCAGTGTGTGACATTCCCCTCCCTGTGTCCATGTGTTCTCATTGTTCAACTCCCATTTATGAGTGAGAACATGTGGTGTTTAGTTTTCTGTTCTTGTATTAGTTGGCTGAGAATGATGGCTTCCAGCTTCATCCATGTCCCTGCAAAGGACATGAACTTACCCTTTTTTATGGCTGCACAGTATTCTGTGTTGTATATATGCCATATTTCCTTTATCCAGTCTATTATTGATGGGCATTTGGGTTGGTTCCAAGTCTTTACTATTGTGAACAGTGCCGCAATAAATATACGTGTGCATGTGTCTTTATAGTAGCACGATTTATAATCCTTTGGGTGTATACCCAGTAATGGGATTGCTGGGTCAAATGGTATTTCTGGTTCTAGATCCTTGAGGAATTACCACACTGTCTTCCACAATGGTTGAACTAATTTACACTCCCACCAATGGTGCTTCTCCACATCCTCTCCAGCATCTGTTGTTTCCTGACTTTTTAGTGATCACCATTCTAACTGGCATGAGACGGTATCTCATTGTGGTTTTGATTTGCATTTCTCTAACAACCAGTGATGAGCTTTTTTTCATATGTTTATTAGCCGCATGTCTTCTTTTGCAAAGTGGCTGTTCACATCCTTCATCAACTTGATGGGGTTGTTTTCTTCTTGTAAATTTGTTTAAGTTCTTTGTAGATTCTGAATATTAGCCCTTTGTCAGACGGATGGATTGCAAAAATTTTCTCCCGTTTTGTAGATTGCCTGTTCACTCTGATGGTAGTTTCTTTTGCTGTGCAGAAGTGCTTTAGTTTAATTAGATCCCATTTGTCAATTTTGGCTTTTGCTGCCGTTGCTTTTGGTGTTTTAGTCATGAAGTCTTTGGCCATGCCTTTGTCCTGAATGGTATTGCCTAGGTTTTCTTCTAGGGTTTTTATGGTTTTAGGTCTTACATTTAAGTCTTTAATCCAAGTTGTGTTAATTTTTGTATAAGGTGTATAGAAGGGGTCCAGTTTCAGTTTCTGCATATGGCTGGCCTGTTTTCCCAACACCATTTATTAAATAGGGAATGCTTTCCCTATTGCTTGTTTTTGTTAGCTTTGTCAAAGATCAGGTGGTTGTAGATGTGTGGTGTTATTTCTGAGGAGTCTCTTCTCTTCCATTGGTCTATATATCTGTTTTGGTACCAGTACCAAAGCATTTTGCATTTCAGTATCATGCTGTTTTGGTTACTGTAGCCTTGTAGTATACTTTGAAGTCAGGTAGCATGATGCCTCCAGCTTTGTTCTTTTTGCTTAGGATTGCCTTGGCTATGCGGGCTTTTTTTTTTTTTTTTTTTTTCCTTTGGTTCCATATGAACTTTAAAGTAGTTTTTCCAATTCTGTGAAGAAAGTTAATGGTAGCTCGATGGGGATAGCATTCAATCTATAAATTTCTTTGGGCAGTATGGCCATTTTCATATTGATTCTTCCTATCCATGAGCATGGAATGTTTTTCCATTTGTTTATGTCCTCTCTTATTTCCTTGAGCAGTGGTTTTGTAGTTCTCCTTAAAGAAGTCCTTCACATCCCTTGTAAGTTGGATTCCTAGGTATTTTATTCTTTGAAGCAATTCTGAATGGGAGTTCACTCATGATTTGGCTCTCTGTCTGTTGTCGGTGTATAGGAATGCTTGTGATTTTTGCACATTGATTTTGTATCCTGAGACTTTACTGAAGTTGCTTATCAGCTTAAGGAGATTTTAGGCTGAGATGATGGGGTTTTCTAAATATAAAATCATGTCATCTGTAAACAGAAACAATTTGACTTCCTCTCTTTGAATAGGAGTGGTGAGAGAGGGCATCCTTGTCTTGTGCCAGTTTTCAAAGGGAATGCTTCCAGTTTTTGCCCATTCAGTATGATACTGGACATCAAGGTCACCCTGATTTCCTCTCAGGTTCCTCCTTGTTAACCCAACCTTCAGGTCCTATTGCTGTTATCATTTGAGCATTTCTCAAATCTCACTGATACTGAGTTTTTTTTTTTTTTTTTTTTTTTTTTTTTGGAGACACAGTTTCACTCTGTCGCCCAGGCCAGAGTGCAGTGGTGTGATCTCGGGTCACTGCAACCTCCGCCTCCTGGGTTCAAGAGATTCTCCTGCCTCAGCCTCTGGAGTAGCTGGAATTACAGGCATGAGCCACCACACACCCGGCTAATTTTGTATTTTTCGTAGAGACAGGGTTTCGCCATGTTGGCCAGACTGGTCTCGAACTCCTGACCTCAGGTGATCAACCTGCCTCGGTCTCCAAAAGTGCTGGGATTTCAGGCATGAGCCACAGCGCCCAGCCCCGACATATCTCTTAAGTACACATCAGTTTCAGGCATTCAGGGATGTTCAGACTCCCCCACTTTCAAGCCCAGGCTCCATGCTGCTGCTAACGTGATCTTCAAACCCTGACTGGCCCTCACTGGCCCTTTGCCTAAAATCTTCAAGTGGTTCCCCATCATCTTCAGGATGAAGTCCAAACTCCCAAGCATGATACTCAAGATGCTATAACCGGCCCCTCCTACCTGACTTCTTGCCCTTCCCCAAACGTGTCATCCTCCCTCATCTTCCTTCAAAATATAGAAGCCAGGCAATATTTCAGGTGCTTGGCCCACACGAATGAACCAAACAGAGATCCTGGCCTGTGTGGACCTCGTATTCTTATGGGAGAAGGTGAGAGGTAGGGAGGTGGATGGTGGAAGAATGGCTGAGTAATTGGGTAAATGGATGAGATGTCTGATGATAGATGGATGGATGGTGGACATACATGGATGATTGATAGGTAAGTAGATGATTGGTGAATGCCTAGACAGATACAGAGAGGTTGATAAATGGATGACTGACAGGTAGATAAATAACGAATACACAGATATGCAGACAGATGGACAGAGTGTTGTGTGGTTATAACGGCAGTGGAGACGTAAGTCAGGATGGGGAACAGGAGGGATTGTGTATGAAGAGGTGCCGTATTTCACAATTTTACAGAAACAGGATAAATGAACCATACTTCTCACGTTGGGTCTGGCTTCCCCTCCAGAGCAGAGCCTGCAGTCTCTGAGCTGAAGCGTTGGTCTCCTCCACCCACCCTCCCACTCTCAGCCACCCCCCCGCCATGTGCCTCTCTCCCCCACGCCTTCCTGCCTTTGAAGAGGTGAGGTAAGGTGCACGGGTGAACAGAAAACGCGCCCAAAACCAAGAGATCACCATCTCCTGCTACACCCACCTCTCTCAGGCTTTTATCGAGAGAGAAGAGTGCGAGACAACCACAACCCACCACACTTATCTCGTAGAGTAGCTGGGATTGTGAAGATGGCACAATCCAAAGGTAAACACAGGGTTTATCAACCCCGCTGCAGCATCGTGGAGAGAGAATGTAGGAAACAGACGCAATGGTGACTGACGTGGATCTCCTCTCCCGTGTGGTAACATGTCAGGCCAAAGCTGGGCTTGCATCTTCCTGCGAGGAGCGGCCCCGTGTGATCGTCAGCCATCGGGCAGCCTCCCTGAATTTCAGCTTCCTCATCTATGAAATGGAAGGCAGACCCCACTGGCTTCCATGAGAACTGAAGCTGTATGAACTCATGCCTGTGTGCACGTCTGGGTGTGTTGTGTGTTCAGACAGGGCGCCCGCACAGTGGCATTGACACACGGTGAGGGAAGTGTTCACCGCAGGCTGACAGCACACGGGCACCTCCACAATCCTGAACTCGACAGGGGCCTCCGAGACACCCACGTGAGTAAGAGAAGGTCTCAATATGTGTCAGGGCTTAAGACCTCTGTGAAATAACGGAGGTTGGATTTGGGAGCAAATCCTCCTTGGTTCCATCCCCACACGTTTTCTGGGTCAAAGCCTCCTTGGAGAAGCAGCAGGGGGCGCCGTGGAGGTGGCACCAGCTTTTCATTCAGGCTCTCAGCTGTGTCTTTCTCGTTTGCACGGGTGACACTCCCCGAGGCCATAAAACCTCTCTAGAAAGAAGAGCAGAGCCAGGAGGCCAGGCAGACGGTGACTGAGGAGGATGCAGAAGTGGCTGATCACACGAGCCTGTGTGGACCGAGAGATTCGTTACAGCACGACTTACTCATAGCCTTTCCTCCACCACGAGCGAGTTCCGAGACTCACAGGCTTTCCTCAACCACCGGGTGAGTTCTGTCATCCCTTAGACTCCGTTTTTTCTTCTGACACAGGAGACAACAGTCACAACGTCACCTGATTATCATGAGAGCTCCATGTGACAACAACGTGAGAACGCCGGTGAAGGGCATTTGAAAAACAAAGGGATTCACCAATCGGGTCCATCACCAGTGACGAACCCCTGCCCTCACCCATGCCCTGGGAACTACACAAGAATTCACAGGTAATTTTCTTTTAAAGAAGCAACTTTAACCTACATGTTGGAAAAACTCAGAGTAATTCAAACGTCAATCACAGCCTGAGTTTTTGTTGTTTTTGAGATGGAGTTTTCCCCTGTCTCCCGGGCTGGGGTGCAGTAGCGTGATCTCGGCTCACTGCAACCTCCACCTCCCAGGTTCAAGCATTTCTCCTGCCTCAGCCTGCTGAGTAGCTGGAACTACAGGTGCCCGACAGCCTGTTTTCTGTTGCTAAATTAATGAAATTTCAGCTGGCCACGCCCAGGTGGCAGTGGCAACTCAGGCTCCAGACAGCCCTGTGCAGATGACATCATAAAACACGGAGGAAAAACAAACAGGAAACACATGACAATGTGTGGTTTTCGTTTCTGTTTAGAAAAGTAGACTTGGAAAACAAATCACTGAGGGTAAGGGAAAAAACTATGCTAGCAACCACGATTAAAAGTTATTTAACAAGGCCGGGCGCGGTGGCTCAAGCCTGTAATCCCAGCACTTTGGGAGGCCGAGACGGGCGGATCACGAGGTCAGGAGATCGAGACCATCCTGGCTAACACGGTGAAACCCCGTCTCTACTAAAAAAAAAAATACAAAAAAAAAACTAGCCGGGCGTGGTGGCGGCGCCTGTAGTCCCAGCTACTGGGGAGGCTGAGGCAGGAGAATGGCGTGAACCCAGGAGGCGGAGCTTGCAGTGAGCTGAGATCCGGCCACTGCACTCCAGCCTGGGCGACAGAGCGAGACTCCGTCTCAAAAAAAAAAAAAAGTTATTTAACAGTGACGCCTAAAAATGAGAAAAATTTGGCATGAGATTATAATCTTTTTAATTAGTATGAAATTCTGAATAGTAGACAACGTGGGCTTGTAAACCATGTGAAGAGCTATTTCCCAGACACTGGGGTCTCCCAAGAAGGTGTGTCTGCACAGAAAGCTGGAGGCCCATCGCATGCTGGAGGCCTACACCCACCGCGCTTCTGCCTCGCCCAGTGGCTGGGCACAGGCACCCTCCTGGCACAGGCGGCAGATGGACGTATTGTCACACCCCACCCCGTGCTTACCTGACCGATAGCGCTCATCTCGTGACCTTGAAGACCTTCGGCGGTGGTAGCGAGAGGCAGAGGAAGGAGTGACAGGAGCCCGGCATTCTTGCAGCAAAGCTTGGTCCACCCCTGGATTTCAGGGAAAAGAGCAGTGAGGTGTGGCTGTGCTCAGCAGACTCTAGCAAATCATTCCCTCCATCCCCACAGCAAAGCCAGAGCTACCCACGGGACTGGGCATGGCGGCACCTCAGAGCCCACAGGCAGGAGGGCCAGGACTGAGGGGGAAGCTCTCCCATAGCCGGGGAGACCCCTCCTGCCTGGACGCCACCACAGACCCTCTCACAGCACAAGGGTCCACTGACAGGCAGGGAGAGACACAAACTCAGCCACAGGTAGCAACTGAATTCCTGGGAGTTAGAGAAACAGGGCCCAAGACACAGACTCAAGTTATGACCTTTCATGTAATAAATATACAGAATGGGTTGTATAAGTTCTTAAGAAAATTTAAAAGTTATTATTAAAGCAATTTTTAAAACAAATCTTACAGGATAGTTTAACAATATAATTCAGGTAACCAGGACATACCATGAACGACCAGCTTTGCTCATTCCAGATTACTCTCTGGAAACACACTCCATTTGCTGCCAAGGGTTAACAGATTATATTCGACTATGAATTACAATTATTTGATGAATTACAAAAAAACGTTAATGTGGTCAGATGAAACGATTTAACGGTATTGGTCAAAACACTGACATGAATCCACCTGTCACAGTACTGGTTATACTCAGGTAACAACAGGGTGGCAAGGAACACAACTAGACGAAACTAAGCCCCCAAAGGAAGGACATCATCATCACAGATCCATGAAGAACTGCTCTGATACCGTGGGAAAAACGGCATCCCCACAGTTCCCTGAACGGCTCTGAAACCACAGAAAGGACGTCATCCTCACAGCTCCACGAAGAACTGCTCTGAGTCCACGGGAAGGACGTCATCCTCACAGCTCCACGAAGAACTGCTCTGAGTCCACGGGAAGGACGTCATCCTCACAGCTCCACGAAGAACTGCTCTGAGTCCACGGGAAGGACGTCATCCTCACGGCTCCACGAAGAACTGCTCTGAGACCACATGAAGGGTGTCATCCTCACAGCTCCGTGAACGGCTCTGATACCACAGAAAGGACGTCATCCTCATGGCTCCACGAAGAACTGCTCTGAGTCCACGGGAAGGACGTCATCCTCACGGCTCCACGAAGAACTGCTCTGAGTCCACGTGAAGGGCGTCATCCTCACGGCTCCACGAAGAACTGCTCTGAGTCCACGGGAAGGGCGTCATCCTCACGGCTCCACGAAGAACTGCTCTGAGTCCACGGGAAGGGCTCCCACGGCTCCACGAAGAACTGCTTGAGCACATGAAGGTGTCATCCTCACAGCTCCGGAACGGCTCTGATCCACAGAAGGACGTCATCCTCACGCTCCACGAAGAACTGCTCTGAGTCCACGGGAGTCATCCTCACGCTCACGAAGAACTGCTCTGAGTCCACGGGAAGGGCGTCATCCTCACGGCTCCACGAAGAACTGCTCTGAGACCACATGAAGGGTGTCATCCTCACAGCTCCGTGAACGGCTCTGATACCACAGAAAGGACGTCATCCTCACGGCTCCACGAAGAACTGCTCTGAGTCCACGGGAAGGGCGTCATCCTCACGGCTCCACGAAGAATGCTCTGGTCCACGTGAAGGGCGTCTCTCACGGCTCCACGAAGAACTGCTCTGAGTCCGGGAAGGCGTCATCCTCACGGCTCCACGAAACTGCTCTGAGTCCACGGGAAGGGCGTCATCCTCACGGCTCCACGAAGAACTGCTCTGAGTCCACGGAAGGCGTCATCCTCACGCTCCGAAGAACTGCTCTGAGTCCACGGGAAGGGCGTCATCCTCACGGCTCCACGAAGAACTGCTCTGAGTCCACGGGAAGGGCGTCATCCTCACGGCTCCACGAAGAACTGCTCTGAGTCCACGGGAAGGGCGTCATCCTCACGGCTCCACGAAGAACTGCTCTGAGTCCACGGGAAGGGCGTCATCCTCACGGCTCCACGAAGAACTGCTCTGAGACCACATGAAGGGTGTCATCCTCACAGCTCCGTGAACGGCTCTGATACCACAGAAAGGATGTCATCCTACGTCATCCTCACAGTTCAGTGAAGAACTGCTCTGAGACCACGTGGAGGATGTCATCGTCACAGTCCCGTGAAGAACTGCTCTGAGACTGAGCACCAATCACTAACAGATGCTTCTTCAGAAATGGATCAGTAATATTTGATTGAAAGTAAACTAGAAATAAAGTTTTAAGTTAACAAAAGAGATATTTAGTCCCTGGTTTTCCATGATGGGCTCTTATGACAGCTGTAGAGTCTGTGGGCTTCATATTCCTCTTACTCAGGTGGTTTCTGCACGTCAGCTTTTGATGGTGTGTGTGCAGACCCTACGTGTCAGGCTGGTGAGTTCAGAACTAAGTGAAGCACAGCTCCACACCCCGCCACCGCCCCCCCACACCCCGCCACCGCTCCCACACCCCGCCACCGCTCCACCACCCTGCCACAGCTCCCCCATCCCGTCATTTTGTTAAGTCTCACGTGATCTTCTTTCAGCAGCATCCAAATCACCATCAGTTCCTGAGGAACAAACTGCTGCTACCAACCTCTCGTAGTCGTCATCTACAAATGATCTTTTAAAAACGATCTTCAATTACCTTTTTATCAAACAGATGCATTTTAGGAAATCAAAGAGTGTTATCAAGTCTCACGTGAAAAACAGTAGTTACCTGGCACTTACGTTCATAAACACGGACTTACCACACGACTTCCTGAATTGTCCTTTAGACACCTCCCCTTACAGCACTGTGGTCATCACGTCAGGGTCTGCAGTGTGCTACAAATACCGTCCTATCTTACGCTTTTCAATGATTCTGGAGTTAATACTTTTTATCTATTTTCCATTATCCTGGCTTTCAATGTACCTATTGCCAACCCTTTCACAGTTCTTCCGCAGAACTGAAAAACTCTTTCCCGTACTTTCTCGCCCACGATCAAACACTGATAACCTGGTGAGAATCTCTGTTTGATTTTCCTGGAAATCCTCTTGGAGCCCTGCCCCAATCCCCAACGTGCTACCCTCACTGGGCCGTGCCTTTCTTCCCGCTGGCCGTGCTGCTCGCTATGTTGGTCACTCGTTCTCAGCCCCTCAACGCCCCCTCCTCTCCCCACTCTCCCATCCTAAAAGAGCACCTCAAGTGCTTCAGAAAGGACGGACGAGAAGGAACACCTGGGGGCCCCGCGTGTCCGAAAGTGCTTTTCTCTCTACCCCAGTGAGACCGGGTCTTTCTCCTAGATATGGACTTCCAGGTGAAAGTTAATTCTATTCATTGCCTTTCATTTCCTTTATTGGTGAGAAGTTAAACGTCATTCTGATGCTATAATCTTTACGTAATATCCATTCCTTTCTCTTCTTTGATAATCTTTTCTTCATTCCCACTGGAGGAGCTGCAAGCCAAGCTGTAATATCTATTCCTTTCTTTTCTCCCTCCATAATCTTTTATGCTGTAAAGCAGATTTTTCTTCTCATGGGGGCACACGACCAAATCTCTCCCCCAGGAGGGCTCCATCGGGGCTGTTTCATTTGCCTGAAGAGTCCTCTCCTCTCCTGTTTCATAACCAAACACAGGCACGTTCATCCCTCTGGGCTGGGCTGTTTCCTCCACACGTGTGCTCTGACCTGGGGCCTCTGTTTTCAGTACCACCCCCAAATCTGGAGCCTCCCCGGTTTAATTTCTCCAGATAACACACATGGCTGGGAAGAGGGGGAAGAGGGGGAAGAGGGGGAAGGGGGGGAAGGGGGGGGGGGGGGGGGGAGGGGGGGGGGGGGGAAGGGGGGGAAGGGGGGGGGAGAGGTGGCCGCCTGCTTCCTGGACACCGTTCTCTGGGCTCCACGTGTACAGCACCCATGGCTGTCCCCCTTGTCTTCATCTTGGCTTTCTCCATTTTGCTAAATGATGAACCACAAATTCCTCTACCTGACTTTTCCTGTGCTGTGGACTTACAGTCACTGACATCTTAGCACAGTTTGGAGAAACAGAGATAAATGCACACTTTCAAGTTGCCAAGTATAACCAGTGGCTGGACATTTTTAATGCTTCACGTTCAATCTCAATACTGCACCTATCCAGTCCATGCAAACACGCTTCTCGGGATTACCTCCAACCCTAACCTCCTCCTGGTGCCTACGGACAATGGCGTACGGAGCTCTAGGCTGCTGCTCGGCTTCTCACAGGCCTTGTGTCTGATCTCAGAAAGCTACTTTTGCATACCAACCTTGTGAATATCTCCTCTCAGGTGGAAATGCAAAGTTGCAACAAAAGTTTGAAAACAAATGAATAAAACAGAAGACTAGCTTCTACAGGTTGCAATAAGACAGCAAAAGAAACAAGTATGAACTCGCACGTTTCCTTCATTCATTTTCTTCTGACGTCATCCCAAATGAGGCTGGAGGTGGCTTAATGGTGTGTTCTGGGAAGAAGACAGCCACAATTGAATAGGCGTCGCTCAGCTGGATTCCAGCCTGTGACCGCACAGGACCGAGGGGTAGCAGAGGGGCATCCCCACTGTTCCCATCACAGGGAAACCAAGTGCGGCTGCTGGAACAGATGCCTCTTGGTAGCAAGAACACAAATGATCACGAAGATGCACGACTACAGCATAGTGCTCTGCGCTGCTGAGAGCTCACATTCATAGTCACGTTCAGTTTAGGGAAGTGTGGTTGAAAATCAGCTCTCAGGAGCGTCACAAAGACGGGAAGCCTCTTGACAGAGGTGTGGTCAGGGGAGAGAGGCCGGTGTGGTCCCTGGGAAGGGGGCGTCCCCAGGGAGATGGGGTGGCTGCCTTCAAACATTCAAGCCTCTTCAGGCAAAAACACGGCCGAGATGGAGATAAGGTTCTCCTCCCAGGAGCACCTGCTCAGCTTTCATGCGTTGGCCACGCGAGGCACCAGCTCAGCTCCGCTCCTCCGGGGACGGGAGATCCCGTGCCTGCAGTCAGGGCCCTGATACATCCGCTCCTGTCACTCTGTGGGATCTGGGCAAGTTCGTGACCTTTCCCAGGCTCAGCCTCCTGCCTCTGGACAGAAGTGGCAGTGATAGCTAACACTGCAGCCCCGGCCTAAGCACCTGAGAGTCACTCATTCATCAGCACGAGCAGCACCAGGCCGGGACTGTCACTTCTGCTGTTTTCTTGGCAAGGAGACACAGGTGTAGAAGCCATCCGTGAGTGGGGGCGGCCCGGGGCCACCTTTGTGCGGTGACTGAACATTCTCCCATGACTGCCTTTTCATTTGCAACGGGGACCCCTCTCCCCAGGCCCTTCTGCACCCTCCTCTGAGGGCAGAGGCTGTTGTTTTCCTGGTACCTGCGGTGGTGCCCAGAGCCTCTATCTCTGTTACAGGAACAAAATCTGGCTTGTCTTGAAGCCAGGAAGAGACCTTTTTGGAATTCCATTATGAAAGTTAGTATTTGGACAGAGTATTCTTTTAAGAAAATATGGAAACTGCTAGAATTTCAAGTCCAGAAACGAATCTTGGAGCAAAGAAAAGCCTGAAGAGGGGGAGGGGAGGGGAGGGGGAGGGGTGAGGAGAAGAATGGGGGCAAAGGGAGAGGTTGGAGGCGGGGGAAGGGGCGGGGGAGGGAAGGGGGAGGGAAGGGGTGGGGGGGAAGGAGCGGGGGAGTGGAGGGAGGGAAGGGAGAGGGGGAGAGGGGGAGAGGGGAGAAGGGAGGCGGGGGAAGGGAGGGAAGAGGGGAGGGGGAAGGGGAGAGGGGGGAAGAGGGGAGGGGGAAGGGGAGAGGGGGGACGAGGGGAGGGGGGAAGAGGGGAGGGGGAGGGGGAAGGGGGGAAGGGGGAAGGGGGGAAGGGGGGAAAAAACTCATGGGAGAATGAGAGAATACTATGATTAACATTAGCAGCAACAATCTTTTTTTTTTTTTTTGAGATGGAGTCTCCCTCTGTTGCCCAGGTTGGAGTGCAGTGGCGCCATCTCAGCTCACTGCAAGCTCCGCCTCCTGAGTAGCTGGGACTACAGGCACCGCCACCACGCCCGGCTAATTTTTTTGTATTTTTAGTGGAGACAGGGTTTCACCGTGTTAGCCAGGATGGGCTCGATCTTCTGACCTTGTGATCCGCCCGCCTCGGCCTCCCAAAGTGCTGGGATTACAGGCGTGAGCCACCGCACCTGGCCTAGCAGCAATAATTTTATAAAGGTAGATGACATGGATAATTGTTTAGAAATATTAAAATTACCAAAATTGACTCAAGAAGAAAGAGAAAACAAGCTGCAAACGGGGAGTACATATTTGCAATACAAAAAACCGGCAGTGAAATTACTCATAATATGTAATGGCTATAAATTAATCAGAAAAACAAACAAACACTCCACTAGAACAATGTGCAAAAATGAAACTAGACCGGCTAATAAACACAGACAACATGATTAACCCACTAGTAACCTTGCAAATGCAAATTTAATAGATGCCACATAGCATCTGTCTGCAGGGCGAATATTAAAAAGCATTCCATTTGAACTGAGGTCTACAGCAGTTGTGGAGCAACAGGGACTCTCATTTGCCACACCTGGGACTATAATTGGTCCCCACCACTTAGATGAGCAATTTGGTAACAACAGTAAATTTAAAAACATACATAAACATGATTAGTAATTTCACTAATAGATCTTTTCCCAGACTAAATCTCACGTAGAAGGAAGTAACAAATAAGCAATGTTTGTGGACCAAAGAATTAGAAACAATGTAAATTTCTATCAGTGGGAGGAAAGATAAACAAATTATTATATGTCACTGAAATAAAATGTTATAGGATAGCAAAAACAAAATGAGCTAGGGCTACAATCATCCACCTGAATGAATCTCAAACACAAAATACAGAGTAAAAACCTAAGTGGCAGAATTATAATTAGAGAATGAAACTGTGTATAGATTTTAAAACACCTACAAAACAACACTATACCTTTCTATGGACTAAGTATGTCCATAAGGAATACACTTACGAATGCCTTACACCTCATACATGCATTTCCGCTCAGCTCAGACAACCACCAAGCTGGGCAATTTTACTCCCAGCTCACAGGACAGGAGTGGGAATAACAGACCAAAATTCAGAATCTGTTTACTTCTGCAAGGAAAGGAATGGGAGGGAGGGAAATAAGATTAGGAAGGGGTCCATGGCGGGCAGGGACTTAATTCATCTCTATTCATTTTTTTTTCCTTCTTTCCTTCCTTCCCTCCTTCCTTCCTTCCTTCCTTCCTTCCTTCCTTCCTTCCTTCCTTCCTTCCTTCCTTCCTTCCTTCTTCCCTCCCTCCCTCCCTCCCTCCCTCTCTCTCTCTCTTTCTTTCTCTTTTCTTTTTTTCTTTTTTTTGTGAGACAGTCTCACTCTGTCACTCAGGCTGGAATGCAGTGGTGCAATCTTGGCTCACTGCAATCTCTGCCTCTCAGGCTCAAGCCAGTCTCATGCCTCAGCCTCCCAAATAGCTAGGATTACAGACTCACATCACCACGTCTGGTTAATTTTTTGTGTTTTAGTAGAGACGGGGTTTCACCATGTTGCCTCGAACTCGAACTCCTGAGCTCAGGTGATCTGCCAGCCTCAGTCCCCCAAAGTGCTGGGATTACAGGCGTGAGTCACCACGCCCGGCCCTTGTTTGTTTGTTTTTTCTTTCTTTCTTTTTTCTTTCTTTCTTTCTTTCTTTCTTTCTTTCTTTCTTTCTTTCTTTCTTTCTTTCCTTCTTTCCTTCTTTCCTTCTTTCTTTCTCTTTTTGGTTTTGTTTTTTGAGACAGTTTCACTTTGTCGCCCAGGCTGGAGTGCAGTGGTGCGATCGCGGCTCACTGCAACCTCTGCCTCCCGGGTTCACACCATTCTCCTGCCTCAGCCTCCCGAGTAGCGGGGACTACAGGGGCCCACCGCCACGCCCGGCTAATTTTTTGTATTTTTTTAGTAGAGACAGGTTTCACCGTGTTAGCCAGGATGGTCTCGATCTCCTGACCTCGTGATCCGCCCGCCTGGGCCTCCCAAAGTGCTGGGATTACAGGCGTGAGCCACCACGCCCAGCCCATGTTTTATTTCTTTAAAGAAAAACCTCTGAAGCAAAGAGGGCAAATGACACAACGATTTGACAAAGCCGGGTGATGGGTAAGTGGGTGTTTGTTATATTAATAGTATTAATTATACTTTGTAGGCTGCTTGAAATAGTACAAATCTATGTGATAATCCTAGATACTGCTAAGTGCTGTGTAGAAAGATAGTGCGTTGTGACAGAGGACAAAGACATTGGAGGAGGGGCTTAGACAGGGTGTCCAGGGAAGGCCCGGGCATTTGAGTTGGGTCCTGAATGGCAAGAAAGAGACAGCCCTGCAGTGATTTGAGGGCAGATCATTCAGCAGAAGGAACAGCAGGTGCAAAGGCTCTGAGGCAGGAACCGACGTGGCTAGAGCACGGGAGGATGTGGAGAGGAGAGTGCACAGGGAAGGAAGCATTTCCTCTTTGAGTCCGTCCTGTGCAGGGCTGACGCTGGTGAAGGTCTGAGTGCCCCACACCGCCCAGAGCCCTTCTGGGACTGGGGTGTGTGCACAGCCCCGTGATGTCTCCTGAGCTGGCAGCAGCTGCTAGGAGTGGAGTGCCCCGAGCCGAGGATCAGGGTTGAGGACAGTGGACCCCCACTCTCGTTCTAAGCCTGTTCCCGTGGAGACAGCACAGCTGGCTTTTGTTGGGGGCCGTGAGAGGCCCTGCTGGCCTCGGCCTTCCTGCGTGTTGGCCTGAAAATGAGGGGGAAGAGGTCCCGTCCGTGAGGCCTCCAGTGAGCGCAGCTCACATCCCAGCTCGGAACTCTAGGAAAAGAGACACCGTTGGGAAACCAGGGCAGTGCCAGGGAGCCTGCCGACCCCGGAGCCTTTCCTCCACCTCACCAGTGTGCCCCGCCCGCTGTCAGCCCAGGCCTGCTGCCTCGCCTGGCCCCCTTTTGAGCACCCTCTGACTGGGCAGAGCTGCTGGGCGCCACTTCCCCTGTGCTCGCCTCCTCTAGGCCAGGTCTCCCCAGTGGTGCCAGGACGTGTAGCGCCCGGTTCCCTCTTCTGTAAGCTGAGTAAAGCTGCCCAACTTGGAGTCTGTCTGGGCTGAGTGGAACACATGAGGGGGAAGGTTTTCGAGGGTCCTTAAGATGTGCTTCGCTGCTTCCCTCCCTCTAGACTCAGTCCTTGCCAACAGGACCTGGCCCTCTTCTGCTTGCCTGCCTTCTGGTGGTCCTCACGGTGCTTTCCACAGGGTGTACACAAGTACTCGTGAGCAGCATGCAGCGGGAGATGGAGAGAAATAACTCATGAGAGTGTATGACTGGCCCAGAAACAACGGGCATCCACTCCATGCAAAAAACGTGGAAGCCCTCATAGTTAGGTGACTGGGTCTCTGCCCGCAAGGCCCTAGGAAAGCTAAGGGTTAAGCAGCAGCCAGAGCAAGAAGGCTGCCCGTAGCTCAACCTCCTTCCAGCCACCCGAGCCCGCCAGCCCCAGGCCCAGCCGGGATGCCGCAGCTTCTCGCTACCCTGGCAGACACAGGCCAGAGCTGGAGGGGGAGTCTGGGGGCCCATAGGCACAGAGCCAGGAGACCTGGGCACCCCTGACACCTGGCCAGCCATGAGGGGCCAGGCCCACCACTGTCCCACGCTGGGGTTGGTCTTCAGCCACCCAATGGGTCAGAGCAGCGTGGCGTGGCAGCGGGCCTGCAGCTCGGCTGTTGTGACCATCTCTGTGTGCTGCTCCCAGCAGAGGGCGGGTTCATGCCTAGCACCTCCGGCTGCTGCGAGCTGCTGCCTGTAAGAGACGACCAAGCCCCACCCGTAGCGCTCAGCTGGGTAAATTGCTGAGGAAACCGAATCACAGCTAGACGAGGGGAGTGAAATCATCGTGTCCCTTTCCTCTGTGAGCTCACAGAAACACAGGCCCCACGCAGAAAATACGATGTTCCTCCCAGAGCTGCAGAACGAACAGGCTGTGCTGGGTGAAAGAAAACACCACAGTTGGATGCCAACTTTCCTTAGCAGGAGAAAGAATGTGGCCTGGGGCCACCGCTGGCGATGACAAATTTGCTTCCAGAGCCCTCAGACAAAGCCCTTCCAGCGTGGGGCCCAGCATGCGTCCTCAGAGGCTGGGGAGGCACCTCCTCTGCGGCCCAGGGAAGGGGCTCCCCAAGGACGCACAGCAGGGCCAGGGTGGACTCCTTCAGGCCGACCTGCACCTGGGGCCCGTGATTATCTTTAGGTATATATATCTCTCCATCCCAGCCCTTGGAGACAGCCACCTGAGCGATTTGGGGGTCCATCTGAGCGAACAGCGGGTAGGATGGCGGTCGGGAACTGGGGAAGAGACGGTCACATCAGATGAAATGGAGCAATAGTGTGGTCAGCACGGGCGGGGCTTGTCTTTTTCTCCCAGCTCAACTGAGGTGTAATTCATCAATAAAAGTGTGTACATTTAAGATGTACGATGTGATGATTTGATCCACACATACACTGGCAAGTAATGACCACAATCAGGCAATGAATGTGTCCACTGCCTCACAGGCACCCTTTTTTTGTGGTGAGAACATGTAAGATCTATCCTCTTAGTCCATTTCAAGTAAACAATACATTGTCATTAGCTGGAGTCACCACGCTGTACCTTACATCCCCAGAAGTTACTCATCCCGTGACTGCAAGTTTGTAGCTCTGACCCACATCTCCTCACGTCCCCCACTCCAGCCTCTAGAAACCACCGTTCTACTCTGTTACTATGAGTTTGATTTTTAAGATTCTGCGTGGAACTTGTACTTTAAATTCATTGTCTATTTTAGCCCTCACAACAGTCCTATAAGGTACGTATTGCTATTATTCCTATTTCACAGGTAAGGCAACTGAAGCTCAGAGAGGTTAAGCAATTTGCTCCAGATCGCACAGTAAATACATGTCAGAGCTGGGCTTTGATTGATATGATATGATATGATATGATATATGACATGATATCATATGAAGAGTCCAAGCTCTTAATATCACCAAGTGAAGTGAAATGACAATTAACAAGTGGAGAGAAATGAAATGCCTGGCTCTTGATGACCTCACACTGGACCAGGTGAAAAAGACTCTTGCTTGTAAAAGAACTGACTTTCAATTCAGTGGCTGTTTCCTTCCCCAGAATAGGTTATGAAAAGCCTGTGGCTCTGAGTTGAAACATGAGGCCTGATGCACAAGGTGAAGTCCAGGATAAATGTGAACTTCCTAACACCCACTGCCCGAGAAGACGGCTGTTCTGAACAACTGTTCTCTGCCGCTGGAAATGCTGCCCTGAGGAGGCAGGTTTTTCAGGTGTGTGGCTGGTGCCCTGAACCCATTGCTTTTGCTACCTGGCGCTGAGCCCTGTTCCGGCAGCCACGGGTTAAATCAACAAGGGGGAGTGGTGGGGAAGCTAGAGGATACAGAGGGAGGGTCAGGGAGGGTGCATGGGGAGGGCCGGGAGAGACGCCAGCTCTTGTTGGGTCGGACACACCTGCATTGCTCCCCAAACCTCAGCAGGGCAGCCCCCGGGGAGGGTGACCCTGCACATCAGAGAGGGGCTGGGTCCCCTGTGCACAGGTGCCTGTGGGGCTGGAAGTGTGTGTGCATGTGCCTGTTCACATGTGGACATGGGCTGCTCGCTAATAGGTGACCGTGAGCCAAACAGGGTCATCATCAAGCGTGAGGCTGGTGTCTTTGCTCTCCTTGAGCTGGGGCCTCAAGTCAGCAGGGAAGAAGGGAGAGAGGGAGAGCGGTGGGGAGGAATTCCCCTGCTATTGTTGGAAAACTAAATGTCCTAGATCACCGTTGAGATTGTTTGTTAACTAACAGTTAACAGATGCCAAGCGAAGGTCTATCAGCGGGGGCCAGGCGCCCTGGTCCCAGCACACTCAGTTGGCACCTGAGGTCCCTGTGTTAATAACTTGCACCTCCCACGGTGTGCTGGGTTAGGGTGATGAGGCGCGTGTACCCTGCCTGTGAGTGTGTGCACACTCTGATGCAGCCCACCCATCTAAGCAGGGCTACGCCCCTGGCAAGCCCTGGGTCCCAGCGGTGGCTCAGATTCCAGCTGGAGGAAAGCCGTCTACACTGAGGGGTCTCAGCCACAGGCATGGGTGCCCTCGGCCTGCACGCCCTGCTGGTCTGTCAGCATCCAGGCTTCAGCAGGATGCCAGCTGACTCTGTAGGACCCTGACCTACCTGGGCTGTGCTGCTCTGAGGAGTGGACTCCCCTCCACCCCAGGGCAGCTCTCTTCTTCCTCCTGCACCTTCAGGCCTCAGCTCAGGGTGGGTCTGGCCCACCTGCCTATCCAAGGAGATGAAGACGTGTCCTCCCAGCCGCACGGTGTTCTTGGGTGTCTGCCCCTGTGAGGCGCTGCTGGACCTGCAGGGCAGGCACGCGGAGTTTGGGGGTGGGATTGAGGAAGGGATTTACTCTCAGGGGCAGGGACAGCCTGGGGAGGGATGGCCAGGCTGGCTCCTGTGGAGAGTTGGTGCCCCTGGAATCTGCGTGCCGGGGAAGGTGTGGAATCCCTGGAGGCTGCAGCTGTCAACGAGGATGAGAGTAGCAGGGGGTTGTGGGGCAGCCCTGAAAGCCGCCAGCCAACACTTGGGCAGGATTGGCTGGCAGCCAGCCTGGAGCAGGCTTTGGGTGGACAGACCACTAGGGCTGCCCTCCCCTGGAAGACACTGGGGTCTGGCTGGGAGGGAGCAGAGAAAACCCCCTTTGAGGCCCCTCTGGCTCTGAGCTTCCTGCGAAGGGGCGGGAATTCCTCCTGCTGGGTCATGGAGTTCTCACCTCATTTCCAGGCAACATCTGTGTGGGGAGCTAGGCCAGCCTCTCCTTAGCTCTCTCTGTCTTCTTTGCCAGGTCCGTGTCACCTGCCCCTCGCTGTGATGCTCCCAGTGCCTGAGCTGGTGTCACTCCCCTTGGTCTCTGGCACCACATTATGAGCCTTTGGGGTCACCCTGGGCCCGGGGAAGTCCTGGCTCTGCCATTTCCTGGCTTTGCAGACTTAATACACCCGGCACAGTACACCTGGGGAGGGTGGCCAAGAGAGCAGCCAGCACTGCCAGGCCCAGAGTGTCTGCTTCACGTTCACTCACTCACAACGCCCATTCAGTCCCCCAGTTCCCCACGGAACCTTCTGGGACCGTGTGGGAGGCCTGTGGTCCCAGGTCCCGGGTGAGGGGAACTTAGAGTCACAAGCACACGCCGGCCCTGGCTCTGCAGTTCCCGCCCGCCCAGCACGTTCCTGTACTCGGGCGGGGACATGCCCTGGGCCTTCCCTCCAACCACTCAGTCCCAACTGCACTCCCCGACAGCCACACACAGCCACACCAACACCTCAGTGACCTGGCTGCCCCCTGAGAGATCCCCATGACCACCCCGCCTTGGATTCAGAAAACACCTCTCTTCAAGCAGTTTGAATCCTGACACGTTGGAGGGGGTAACTTCTGAGCCTCTGTCTCCTCATCTCTGAAATGGGCCACTGACGCAGGTGAAGTGCTACTCGGTCCCTGGCCTACAGTGGAACCCACGCATCTGAGCCCCTGGAGAGGAGCCGTCAGAAGGCCCACGGGGCCAGCCAGCACCTAGCTGTCCCAGCTCAGTGCCCTCTGCAGCCGGTACCCCAAGTTGCCCACAGGGCCTGCACACACACACAGAACGGGACATCCTGGGCAGCTACGGCCCATCCACCAGGCCTGTTTCTTCCGTGAAAACCTAAAGGTTCTTGTGAACTCACACACGTCTGCTAAACTGATTCCTATTTTGAAAATTGTGGGCCGGGCGCGGTGGCTAATCCCAGCACTTTGGGAGGCTGAAGCGGGCGGATCACGAGGTCAGGAGATCGAGACCATCCTGGTTAACATGGTGAAACCCCGTCTCTACTAAAAATACAAAAAATTAGCCGGGCGCGGTGGCGGGCGCCTGTAGTCCCAGCTACTCGGGAGGCTGAGGCAGGAGAATGGTGTGAACCCGGGAGGAGGAGCTAGAAGTGAGCGGAGATCCGGCCACTGCACTCCAGCCTGGGTGACAGAGCGAGACTCCGTCTCAAAAAAAGAAAATTTTGATGTTTCATGTGGAAGATCATTGATTCACAATGACGTAAACACACTGTGTGGAAACGCCTGAATCTCTTTTTTTCCTGCTGCCTGTGGGGGATGAGTCACCGAGACCCAAAGGCTCCCAAGTGCCCCCCGTGGGATGGACCTCATTCAGTCTTTTTGTTTTGCTGGAGCTCTGAGCTTTTGTGTGTAAGCAGGAGTGATTCACACACGCACACCACACACACACACGCACACACTGTGCCCTCTGTAAAGGCGTCTCACACAGGCACACAATCACAGTGGCCAGGAGCCAGGCACCGCAGGTCTGCAAACTGATTTCTCCCTGCATATCCCATTGCTCAGAGCTGCCTTGGCCTGGCTCCCAAGCACAGGGACCCAGTGTCCGTCCCGCAGGCTGGCATGGGCCACAGGATGGAGCTTGTCCAGGTGCAATGTTCAGGGGTTACCTCGTGGTGGGTGGGCCATGCTGCGGGGCTGCCTGCCCATCCCCTGCCCAGGTTTTGCACCAAAGCACTGAGCTCCGGCTCAGCCTGCAGCCTGTCCTACAAGGGAGATGGGGCTGGCATCCCCAGCCCACAAAGGCTGGCCCAGCACAAGCCTTTTGCTGGGGTCTGAGAGAAATCCTGGAGATTTCTGAGGGATCCTCGCCTCCTCCCCACAGGCTCCTCAGCCTCTTTTTCAGAAAGCAGGTGTGTGTGGGCACCAGGCCCAGCATGCAGGACACTGCCCCGCTGCAGGGTTCCCCTCCCTCATGCTGTCTGCCCGTCAAAGGGGCCCTCGCCCACCCCGAGTGGCCTCACCTTGAAACACAGGCAGGCGTGGCCAGGGCCAGGCAGGGCCACCCCTGAGAACCAATGCCCCCTTCAGAGCCAAGCCTGCCCCTGAGATGGGACACAGAATTCACAGAACCCACAGCCTGGGCGGCCACGGTGCGGGAGGAGGCTGCGCTCAGCGAACTGGGCTTCTGGCTCCGAATCACTCTTCCCTCCGACTACACCTGGCATCTTCTGCCTCTCACCCAGGAGGGAGAAGGTCCTGCCATGGGAACAAGGCTGCAGGCCTGCAAACCTGCTCCACCCCAGTGGGGTGCTTCTCTTAGGCCCCAGAGCCCCCAGCCAGTCCCCTATTCAGAGCATGCAGCCCCCGGCCTAGGTCTGGGGTAAAAGCCATTTGTTGCCTAGTGAGGGTGCGAGGAGGGCATCCCTGCCATGTTTTATGGCCCTTTCTTTCCTGCCGTCAGCTCCTGCCTCCACCCCTTTCTCCCCTGGGAACACACTCCCCCCATCTGCTGCACACAAAAGCCCATTATGGCCTCTTGCTTTGAGACCAGCGTCACCCTGGAGACTGGCGCCTTCCGGCCCAGCCGTCCTCTCCCCACCCCAGCCTGGCCCTGGCTCCCAGGCTGGCCTGCTGCCCCCGTGTCCCCCTTTAGGGTCCCCTCCTGTGAGCCGGGAGTCTGATGTGCTCTCCGTCTCTCCTCGGGGGCCCTGCCTCACGGTCGGGCTCCGCTTCTGTTGCTGCTGCACCCTGGAGGCCCCCAGGACCGCTCCACACTCACCATCACCCTGGCTTTGTGTCACAGTCTGCCTGGCACAGGTGCAGGATGCACAGGCGTGGATGGCATGTCGCTTTCCCAACCTGCTCGGCAGGGGTAGCTGATAACTCAGGGACAGCGCAGACACAGCACTGTGCAAAATGACGCTGATGTCTCAGTGACGTGAGCCGCATGTGCCTCGTCTCACCTGCTCACGCTCTGAGCCTCACTTCAGCAACAGGAGGCAGGAAGCACCCCCAAGCCCAGGTTTTAATAAATCCTCTTTTCATTATCACTCCCATCAGAGGGCTGCTGAGGATTCTGGATGGAAGGAAGAAGGTGAGCAGGTCGCTGGGAGAAGCCCAGGACCAGTCATGAGCCGGGACATCCTGCACTGCCAGCAGGAGGTCCCACTTCCTCGTACTGGTGTCACTTATAAAAGCAGTAATGAGTGAACATAGACACACAAAGGTACGTGCAGGGAAGAGCCTCTCCCCAGAGGTGGCCACTGGCAGCAGGTTGGGTGTCAAAGCTGACTGTGTTCCGTGATCAGACGAGATCGGGCACCTTCAGGGCGGTGTGGCCGTAGACAAAGCTGACTGCCTTTAACTCTTTCATCCACACTCACTCCGCCCAGGCGCTGGAGGAGGAGCTGAATCGGGCCACTGCAGCTCCTGCCGCAGCCCCCACACATGTTCACCCGGTCGCGCTCACAGCAGCCCAGCAGGCAGGTACATGGCTGCCCTGTTTTACAGGTGAGCAAACCGAGGCACAGAGGGGTCAGTCACTTTCCTTGAGCCCCACAGCCAGTGCTGGCCAGGCCTCGGAGCCCACGTCTTTTAGCGCCCCTGTGGCCAGCTCCTTTCTGCACCCAAGGGACTCCACATCTGAGGGGCCCCACCCAGCCTGCTGGGGAGTCCTGTTGTCACTGACTCCTCGCCATGGTCAGACCTTGACTCAAAGGCTAGCTCCCAGGAACACGTCCTCACTTGTCCGCCCTTAGCTGTGGTCCTCTCTCCTTGCTAAAAGTCACCTGTGACCCAGACATCCCACAGCAGCCCCTGCTGCAGGAGCTGGGGCAGAAAGCAGGGTATTCCCAGCCTGACTGGTTGGTAGGAGGGGCAGGGAAGGCTGAGGGAAAGGGTCCTGCACACCAGGCTACTGCGGACCCCATCTCCCACCCGCCGCAGGCAGCCCCCAAAGAGGCACATCTCCCTCAGCTGAGCTCCAGGGTCCTTCCTGCAGCCCTGGCACGCCTGCGACCCCTCCCCACCAGGCCTAGGCTTGTCCCTCCTGGCTCCTCCTCCACTGTCCTGACCCCCAGTGACTTCTCTGGGTAGGGGGTGAGGGTGGAGGCAAAGATGTGGGGGTTCCCTGAGATGCCCCCACTCTGCTCCTGGCTGGGGGGTTCCCACAGCAAAGACAGAAAAGAAGGTCCCCATTGTTCCCAAATAAAGACTCTGCTGGCTCTGTCGTTTTCCTCCTTTCTTCCTTCGCATTCCTGTTTTTCTTTCTCTTTGAACAGTCTGCGGTGCTGGCCAGAGACGACGGATGCTTTTCTTTTCCCTGCACCGAACATGGTTCGTGAGTCATGACCTCAGGGAGCGGCACAGAGGCTCCTTTGAGGTTTTTCAGGATTGGGGAGAAGTGGGAGAGGAGTGTGTATTAATGCGCCGAGCTGGTTGTCCTGGTGCTGAGTCCTCCTCTTCTCTGGGCACCCGGCTTCACCCTCCTTGCAGCCAGCCCTGCCCAAGGGAGCTAGAGCATGGCCTCCTGCTGGGCATGGCTTCCCAGCCCTTTGGGAAGTGTGGTCGTCCCCGCAGCAGGGCCTGGCCCGGCTTTCCCCAGGGCCCCAGTGACCGTGTCTGTGTGGGTACAGTCAGTGCTCTCCTACCCCGGGCCCCTGAGCCTGCAATTCTACCCAGAACCACATTCCTGGGGGACAGGCACAGCTCCCGTGCTCTCAAGTGTGACCTCCTGCCCAGAAGGAAGACACACAAAGTTCCTCAGCAGAAGCAAGTTTGACTGAAGGTGGGCGTGAGAAGGCCTCCGAGGCAGAGCTTCCGACTGCCTCCCACCAGGATGTCTTCGAGGCTGGGAGCTGGATTGGCTCAGGATGCACAGAGCCATCAGTTCCTAGAAATCTGGAAATGCCAAATGTGCAGGCCAGGGGGTTGGGGAAGGGGGTATGTCCTGCATGGGTGGCACAGTGTGTGCATCTGTGTCACTTCGAGCATCTGTGGGGGAGGCCCCCTCCTCTAGAAAGGCCTCTGGGCCCCTGCAGGGTGTTTGTCTCCTGTTTGACTGGGAGCCCTCTGAGGGAAGAACAGATGTGGCTCCTGTTTGTTCAGGGGTTGGCTTGAATATTTGTCTGCCAAAGGGCCTGATTCAGAACATGTCTGATAATGGAGTGGGAGGCCTCCATTGTGCCAGGGGAGGTGCCCAGGCCCAGGGAGCTCAGCCTGTCATTTGGGTGTGTTTACAGACAATGACGCCCACCTGGGGGTCAGGTGATGCTTCAGAGTCCAGACTGCTAGCCATTACACCACAGGACCCCTTCTGGTCAGGTGATGATTGATGCAGTGGGGGCTGGGATCGGTGCAGGGTGGATGGTGGGGTGGGTGAGGCGGTGTGGGAGTCGGCTGTCACTGCTGCAGGCCTCTGTGCCTCAGTGGGTCAGGTTGAAGGGCTCGTGCAGCTGTCTGCATCCGAAAGACACGTTCCTAGGCAGCACTTGTAAGACACTTTCAAAGAGCACTTGCAAGATGGATTCAAGTGTTTCTCTGATGCAGCTCCTTCCTCCTCCTGGCACCAGACCTCCCTGTGCCCATGGTGGCCCCTGCTCCTCCTAAACAGGGTTTCTGAGGACTTGTGAGCTCTGAGGGCTCCTCTGTGGCAAGTGGGGCCTCAGTACAGATGGCCTTGCTTATTGCAGGAGCCAGAGTGCTGCTCCTGGTGCTCCCTGACGTCAGCATCCACCTGCCCTGAAGCCTCGGGCCAGGGACAGATGCGGGGCCTGCACATCCATGACTCAGGCCTACCCCACGCCCAGGAAGCCCAGCCCTTTGAGAGGCAGCTGAGTCAGTGCAGGGTGGGGTGCAGGGCTCCTGTGGACCAAAACAGAGGATCCCTCCTCAGGGCAGGTGAAGCCCCATCTGGAGGCTGGGCCTAGAGCTGAGCCTGGAGGCTGAGCAGAGGCTTGCTTTGACACAGGGGAGCAGAGGTGGGAGGGGGCAGAGAACATTCCAGGAGCAGAGAACAGCAAGGCCGGTGTGGCATCCCACAGCAGTGAGCACCTTCAGAGGGGCAAGAATCAGGGCCATGTGCACGGGGCACGTCGGCCAGGAGGGGACCCCAAGTTCCCTAAGGCTGAGCTGATATCAAATCCTCCTGTGTGCCGGGCCTGGACGCAGGGCGAGGCTCACAGGCCTTCCACACAGCCACTGGGCCCCCAGCCCCACACACTTCCTGATCCCTATCCCCAATCTGCCCACTTCGAGTTCCATGAGGGCAGAGTGCCTGCTCGCGTGCCCTCTGAGTCCCCTGGGACTGGACACAGCATAGGCACCCCAAACTTCACATGTCCAAAATTGAGTTCTCGTCCCCATGCCACCCAAGGGCGCCTTCCCGGGCCTCCTTCCATCTACCTGCACTACCACCCTCTACTGAATCAGAAAAAAAACCAGGCTGGGTGTGGTGGCTCACACCTGTAATTCCAGCGCTCTGGGAGGCCGAGGCAGGCGGATCAACTGAGGTCAGGAGTTCGAGAAAAGCCTGGCCAACATGTTGAAACCCTGTCTCTACTAAAAATAAAAAATTAGCCGGGCGTGGTGGCACATGCCTGTAGTCCCAGCTACCCGGGAGGCTAAGGCAGGATAATCATCTAAACCTGGGAGTCGAGGTTGCAGTGAGCCAAGATCGTGCCACTGCACTCCAGCCTGGGTGACAGAGTAAGACTCTGTCTCAAAAAAAAAAAAAAAAAAAAAAAAAAAAAAAAGGCTGGGTGCGGTGGCTCACGCCTGTAATCCCAGCACTTTGGGAGGCTGAGGTGGGTGGATCACAAGGTCAGGAGATCGAGACCATCCTGGCTAACACAGTGAAACCCCGTCTCTACTAAAAATACAAAAAATTAGCTGGGTGTGGTGACGGCGCCTGTAGTCCCAGCTACTCGGGAGGCTGAGGCAGGAGAATGGCATGAACCTGAGAGGCGGAGTTTGCAGTGAGCCGAGATCTGAGACCCGAGCCACTGCACTCCAGCCTGGGCGACAGAGCGAGACTCTGTCTCAAAACAAAAACAAAAACAAAAACCAGGTCCTCCCTTTCCCAAACCCCACACCACACACCCAATCCACCAGCATTTCCTGTTAAAGGGACCTCATTCAAAATGCACCTCAGTCCCGCAGTCACTCCCACCACTGCCCTCTCCCCTGAGGCCTCCTGATGAGTCTCCAAAATTCTGCTTCCTGGTGGGGTGTGGTGGCTCACACCTATAATCCCAGCACTTTGGGAGGCCGAGGCGGGTGGATCACGAGGTCAGGAGATCCAGACCATCCTGGCTAACACGGTGAAACTCCATCCCTACTAAAAATACAAAAAACTAGCCAGGCATGGTGTCGAGTGGCTGTAGTCCCAGCTACTTGGGAGGCTGAGGCAGGAGAATGGCGTGAACCCGGGAGGCAGAGTTTACACTGAGCCGAGATCGCGCCACTGCACTCCAGCCTGGGGGACAGAGCGAGACTCCGTTTCAAAAAAAAAAAAAAAAAGTTCTGCTTCCTCCCCTGCCAGCTCAGAGGCCTCCCACGGCCCTTAGGGTCCTCCACATTCCTTCCCCGCTTCCAGGACCCTCTTGCTCTGCCCCACCCTGGCTTCTACCCCATCTCCCCTACCTTCATCTGTGTTCCCTACAGTGCGGCCGTGTATGTGAGTTTTCTGCCTCGCTAAACTTGCTGTGGCCCCAGGGCCTTTGCACTTACCCCCTACAGCGACCCTCTTTCCCTGGACCTCCGCAAGCCTCTCAGCCTCAAGGGCTCAGTGGGGACTTCCCTGGCCACTCAGTCATTCTTCCCTCCTTCGGCCCTGAACGTTTTACCTTAATAGCACTTTAACCTATCTTGTAATTTTCTGTTTGTTGATTTATTTCCAACATTCCTCTGAGGGCGAGTAAAGCAGACTGTTATCAATGCCTGAAACATTTTTCAA